GAGAGGGAGAGAGAGGGAGAGAGAGGGAGAGAGAGGGAGAGAGAGGGAGAGAGGGAGAGAGATATGGAGGGGAAGGAGGGGGGCGGCGGACGGATAGCCTGCAGTCTGATTACAAGTGATCTTGGCGACATTGCCAAAATCACTTGTAAATAAACAATTGGCTTCCCCGTTCTACATTTAGCCCTGCTTGTGGAAAGCGGGGCTAAATGTAGAAAACAAATTACCGCCCGGCATCCGGAACCCCATGTTCCGGGCGTCGGGTGACCTCAAACCTGTGCCGCCCCGAGGCCGGGCCTCGGTGGCCTTGTCGGGAATCCGGCCCTGCAGACAGGGACAGACCCCACCACACCGAGGCGGCAGCGGAGCAGCAATAGCTCCTGCGGTGGGCGGGCAAGGCTGGCGCCGTATTATCGGCACTAGATATAGATATGTTCTTTTTTTTTTTATACAGAAGGGGCATCTTGGAGTTCAAGTTTAAATTTGCCATCAACACTTCACAGAATTGCGCAGTAAGTCCCCTGTCGGCACATGTGCGTGCAGTAGTAGGGCCTGACTGGCTTCATGCACCTCCTCCTTTCAATCAGAGGACGGCTGCAGAGTAATGATTTCTAATGAACGGAGATCCGCTGCTTTGGCGAGTATTTTGGACGCCGCAAAACTCTCTGAAACCTAAAAATTTGCCCTGAAATGTAAAAATAAAACCATCGACACCGACCCCTCATATGGCGCTCCTGTTAAAGGAGAACTATGAGGGGGGAGGGGGGGTGCTTTTCACTCACCTTATAGTTCTAGCCGACCTGTGACAATGAGACTGTCACAGGTCGGCTCAGTAGATCGGGAGGTGAGGGAACACATACCGGCGTTCGCTCACTTCTCGATCCTGTCACGGCTCTCTGCCGTCACAGGGGAGGGGCCGGATTCCCCTCTCCCCGCTCCGATCTGCCAGCGCTGACTGGCGGAACGGACTGGGGAGGGGGCGGGTACAGCTGGCTCTGCCTCTAGATAGGCAGAACCAGCTGTCACTCACGCAGCTGGGCGGATCCAGACGTCCAGGTCGGGATTCGCTCCGGCTGCGGCGTCTCAGTATACCGCGAGCTGCAGCTCCCTATATACTGAGCTTAGGGTGACGGGAGGACGCTAGTTTGTGTCCTCCCGTTACCCTAAGGAGAACTATGGGGACAAGCCCTGACCCCATAGTTCTCCTTTAAAGGGCGATCAGTGCGTACCGCTTTATAACACGTTACCTGCTCTGTGCGGATGGCCAGCTCCTTGTGAAGCTGCTGGATGGAGTTCTTGGCTGCGGCATCCTGCGCCACCATCCTGTCCCTGGCCGTTCTCAGCTCTCGGCCCAGTTCCTCCATTCGTCCCTCCAGCTGGAAATGATAAAAAGAGAAAACGATTAGAATCCAGAAAACCATCTCACACCCAACATCATCATTTAATGGATGGCGGCACTGTGGACGTGGCATGTAGGCTCCGTCTCATTCCTGATCATCCCCATCCCTACGCTTCATCTACCCTGGATCACACTACAATAACGCACATTTCCAGAATTGTACCCACCCAAAAGGGGAGATCAGCACCGCAACTGGACCAATCACTATCCACAAAGACACGCAGATTGCACGGCTCCGGTACGGTCAATGCAGGGTGATCCGAGCGGCTGCTACAAAACCTCAGACATCTAAGGAAGGAAAAGCGGCCGCACACAAAGTACAAGCTGAAACCGTTTAATGTGAGTAAACCGCATCACTGTGTCCCCTTGCTGACGCATTTCACCCAGGCACGGGCTTAGTCGTACCTGATGTGCGGCCGATTTCCTTCCTTAGCTGTACCAATCACTGTTACAATTGCCGGGATGCTGACTGCACACGCTCACACACAGACGAACACTAGAGGGCGCTGCTGCAGATCTGTATTCAGAATATCATCATGACAATACGAGCAGGTAAGAGTCAGAATAGAAATCTCTGGGTGACGTTTACAATATAGAATAATGAAAACTAAAAGATAAAACCAAATATAAAAGATAAAACCAAATATAAAGATAAAACCAAATATAAAAGATAAAACCAAACTGCACTGATAAAAGAAAAACAAAATCAAGCAAGAAGAGCTCCGGGCCGCATTTCAGCCTATGAACGGGTCCGCTGCCCGTCCCGACAGATGCACTCTGGAGGTTATTACGCAGAACACCCGCCCTGCTAATGTGTACAGCCACATCGTCCCCGATCTGCCTCAGGACGGCCCGCATTCTCCACCGGCCACTGCAAGGTAGATCAACACAAGGGCACAACTGCTCTCTATGCGCCCTGTTCACACTATGACACTGTGTTGCGGTTCATCGCAGTGCGCAAAGACGCAGCCTGTCTACGCAGAGCAATGCACCTCACCACATGTCACCGCAGAGCATCTCAACACAATGCAATGCATAGAGTTCAATGAAAATGTCATTGTGTAACATGTCGATAAAGTTGAGGAAAAATAAGTAAACGATGCAATGCGTTCACCGCCCTACACATTGCATACCAGCGAGTGCGCACATTATAGGTTGCATAATGCTTGCGAGTGTCTATGGACGACCACTAAAGGCTGCCCAGGGCTACAAATAAGGAAATACGGCTTTCATACCCTCAGTGCTCTTCAGATATGGGGATAGTGTATGAACACATACATACATACATACATTATAGTTTAATAATACTAGGGCTGCAACAATTAATTGACCCAAGTCGATTATAAGCGATGATGGATGATAGGAGGAGAGAGCAGAGTGATAGAGAGGTGAGCTCATCTATTTGCTGCTTCTCTGCTCACTGTCCAATCACTGGCTGGGGGGAGGGACCAGACCTGGATGTCTTTTCCCATCATCGCTTAGTTGACATTCAATTAGTTGCCCTGCTCGGCACTCCACACACGCCGCTTCTCCTTCCCGCCTCATCAGCTCTCAGGCACCGGCCATGCGAGCAGCACCATTGGTTGCTAGGTTACCGATCTGATTGATCTCATTGGCAAACTGAAGGAGTAAACACGAAAGTCTGGCAATTGTGAGGCCGCAGCTTAGCGTTGTCAGGCTTTAAGAACACTGGGGGGGGGGCGGACTAAGACCGGAACAGCTGTTCATGGCAACCAATCAGCTTCTCTCTTCAGCTTGGAAAATGAAAGCTGGCAGCTGATTGGTTGTCATGCAGATACAGGGACTGAGCAGAAGGAACACCGCCTGCATACAGTCCGGCTGCTCCAGATTCTGCCCGCTCCGGTCTTAGTAAATCCCCCTCTTTGTATACAGGGAGGAGACGGGGTAGATTTCGGATTTGCAGTCACTCTGAAGCCCCCCTCGGGGGTAACGGGAGCTCTGCAGGCTGCGGATCCGGACGGGTGAGGCCTCTCTCGTATTACGATATTTCTGCGTATACAAAGACTTTGATCTCTCGCTGGGCTTTGAAGTGTCTCAGTAACAGTAGAAGGTGTGTCGCAGCAAACGCTGACCTATAGAAAAAGGAAAGGCCACGCATTCCGGAGACTTCTCTTCCCTCAGGAGTGCGGCCGGCACCCAACTACTGTCCAATAATTCAGATATACAGTATATATACTTTGTACCTATATAGCAGGGGTGGGCAAACTCCAGCCAAGTGGTGGAACTACAAATCCCATCATGCATCTGCCTCTGGCAGTCATGCCTTTGACTGTCAAAGTTTTGCAATACCTAATGGGATTTGTAGTTGCACCACAGCTGGAGGGCCAAGTTTGCCCACCCCTGTTATGTAGATGCATAAGGGGGAGGCCATATCTGCTCAGTACATAGGCAAGCTTTGCTTACTGCTTAGCAGATAGCACGGTGATTGTGCTTTACAGTTCCTCTCTCCAGCGGATGTCCATCGATCCTCTGTGTCTCATAGAGGAGAATACAATCTTCTGGGTCTCGTAGATGGCCTGGCCCAGCGAGGCGTCTGGGGATGTAGCCCCCGGGCCTGGCCCAGCGAGGCGTCTGGGGATGTAGCCCCCGGGCCTGGCCCAGCGAGGCGTCTGGGGATGTAGCCCCCGGGCCTGGCCCAGCGAGGCGTCTGGGGATGTAGCCCCCGGGCCTGGCCCAGCGAGGCGTCTGGGGATGTAGCCCCCGGGCCTGGCCCAGCGAGGCGTCTGGGGATGTAGCCCCCGGGCCTGGCCCAGCGAGGCGTCTGGGGATGTAGCCCCCGGGCCTGGCCCAGCGAGGCGTCTGGGGATGTAGCCCCCGGGCCTGGCCCAGCGAGGCGTCTGGGGATGTAGCCCCCGGGCCTGGCCCAGCGAGGCGTCTGGGGATGTAGCCCCCGGGCCTGGCCCAGCGAGGCGTCTGGGGATGTAGCCCCCGGGCCTGGCCCAGCGAGGCGTCTGGGGATGTAGCCCCCGGGCCTGGCCCAGCGAGGCGTCTGGGGATGTAGCCCCCGGGCCTGGCCCAGCGAGGCGTCTGGGGATGTAGCCCCCGGGCCTGGCCCAGCGAGGCGTCTGGGGATGTAGCCCCCGGGCCTGGCCCAGCGAGGCGTCTGGGGATGTAGCCCCCGGGCCTGGCCCAGCGAGGCGTCTGGGGATGTAGCCCCCGGGCCTGGCCCAGCGAGGCGTCTGGGGATGTAGCCCCCGGGCCTGGCCCAGCGAGGCGTCTGGGGATGTAGCCCCCGGGCCTGGCCCAGCGAGGCGTCTGGGGATGTAGCCCCCGGGCCTGGCCCAGCGAGGCGTCTGGGGATGTAGCCCCCGGGCCTGGCCCAGCGAGGCGTCTGGGGATGTAGCCCCCGGGCCTGGCCCAGCGAGGCGTCTGGGGATGTAGCCCCCGGGCCTGGCCCAGCGAGGCGTCTGGGGATGTAGCCCCCGGGCCTGGCCCAGCGAGGCGTCTGGGGATGTAGCCCCCGGGCCTGGCCCAGCGAGGCGTCTGGGGATGTAGCCCCCGGGCCTGGCCCAGCGAGGCGTCTGGGGATGTAGCCCCCGGGCCTGGCCCAGCGAGGCGTCTGGGGATGTAGCCCCCGGGCCTGGCTGAGGGAGGCGCTGGGGATGTAGCCCCGGCCTGGTTGAGTGAGGCGCTGGGATGTAGCCCTGGCCTGGTTCAGTGAGGCGCTGGGGATGAAGCCCTGGCCTGGTTGAGTGAGGCACTGGGGATAAAGCCTTCCCATGATGCATCTATGTGGCCAAGGCTACATCACCAGTGCCTGGAAAATTTCATCTGTAAACTGCAAAATCTCTCACAAGATCCTGGGGGATGTCCCCCCTCGGATGATGTGCAGAGTCACATGTTCCAGGAGGCGGAGCCAGAATTCCAAGTAGAGGGAGATGGATTCATCTTTAGTGAGAATGGGGAGGATATTAAAAAGATTTGCATAATAAGAATAAAAAGCCGTCACTGATCTGCAAGTATCTATTTGCGGATCGTCATTACTAAACATTTCTAATGGCGGCTTTGTTGTCATTTTTAAGATGAGGGTGAAAGTTCCTCTCTAAGATTCACCCGGTACACACGTGGGAACGAGCCTCGGGCCTCCTCTCCTGCAGTAAAATCGGTGAATCCGGACTATTCCCGGGCCATAGATCACAATGATATAGAATAGACGTCAGGCTAGGACTCGGCGTATCAGCACTTAGCAGGTCGGTGCCAGCACAGGTCACATGACCCCGATATCAGGAAGTCATGTCAGTACCGCGCTATGGTATGCCGCGCGCTATTTTTAGATCGGCTGCCAGCTCGGTGATTATTTTATTCTAAATGAAAACCTCCAGCAGAGCCGGGCGAGTCCTCACGTCGTCACTCACTGTAATCATTATTATTATGTCAATCCGGTCGGTGACGAGCCAGGAATGCCGAGCGGCGACTCATCGCCCCTGCAGCGGCGAGCGACATTTCTGAATACCTGTGGGGACGCACGTGCAGCAAGCTGCGGTTATGACGTAGTAGAAGGTCAGCCGTACACAGGGACATGTAAAGCCAGGACTAGGAGTTGTGGCCCCCCCAATGGTAGTCCTTAATGCCCCAACCCTTGCATTGGGGGCAGGATTGGGTAGTTGATGGCCAGATGGAGGGCCGGTGTCTATGGGCTATTGAATTCCTTAGAAATGCTCCTCCCCCCTTTACACAAGTCTATGGGAATGCAAAGCAGCTTAAAGGGGAACTTCAACCCGAAAAAAAAAAATGTGCTCTCCTTAAACCCTCCCCCCTCCCCAACATTAAAATATCAAAAATCCGGTTGGGCGTCTCTCTGTATCGTGTACTCATCATGTGTCGTCATGTGAAAGGTGTAGAGTACAGGTGACAGGCGTGTCCCCGCTGCCTCACATTCCACACGGGTTCACAGGCGAGTCATCACACGTGACACTGAGCAGAGGTCATCTCCCCGAGACTCTGAACATCGGTATTCTCAACGTCACCTGTTTGATGGAGTTGAGATGAAGCATTTCGGTGTCTCCGCGTCTCCTCAGATCCTCTCTCAGCCGCTCCTTCTCCGAGCAGATCTCCGCAATCAGCTGCTGGTGCTTCTGATTCTCCTCCATCAGCCTGAACACAAGGGGAAGGGGAAGCTGTGAATCCCACATTCACCAAAGTGTATCACACAGCTCACCTCAGTACCTGGCTGGAGGACGTCCAGCATCATCTAGTCCAGAGGTGGGAAACTCCGGCCCTCCAGCTGTTCTGCAACTACAAGTCCCATGAGGCATTCCAAGACTGACTCCCAGAGGCATGATGGGGTTTTGTAGTTGGAGGGCAGAGCTGCCCACCCCTGACTGAGCCTTTCCTCCTCAGTCCAAGTGTCCCTGGCCCCGCCCCTTTCATTCACTGTATTTCAGTCAGGGGTGTGGAGTTCCTATCGCCCAACGCCGGGGGACATGCAATTCCTCTCTCTATAGTCTAAGGGGTTCCCCGCTCTTCTAGAGGACCCGGGATCATGGCAAATGACATTGGGATGGAGAGCGGGGAGCAGAGCGGAGAACGTCTGTTACAAGCTCTGCTCTGTGTGATCAGTGATCCCGGAACGCTGCAATCGCAACCTTCCCCCCTCAGCGGTCACATGATCTCCTGTACTGGAGGGGACGGGTTCCATAAAGGGAGAGCCAGTCACCTCCAAATACCATCACAGAGGTGCTTGTTAGGTCCTGTGTGATAGCAATAAAGTTACGTGAAAAAAATACATAAACGATTATAAATATCATTTAAAAAAATTGATAAGTATAAAATAAGATAAAGTAAAAATATTTGTAAAAAATGTAAAAACTAGAATAAAATAAAAAAAAATGTAAACCAACCCCGTCATCTGCATGCGAATAAACGCACATGGAGGGTATTGTGTGCCACCAGAGACCTCAGAGAGCTGAGCGGGGAGCCGGACCGACTGTCGGAGGTTACCAAGAGCTCTCACCAGCCTGACACCCCTCCCCCGGCAACACACACAGTTCTTATTTCAGGAAAGAAGAATTCATACGAATTCGATTTCAACAGCAGGAAACCAACCGATCCGTTCCCAGCAACTGTCACCTCAGCCAGTCTTCTATCTGACCTCCGTCCTCCCCTCCAGTCTTCTATCTGACCTCCGTCCTCCCCTCCAGTCTTCTATCTGACCTCCGTCCTCCCCTTCAGTCTTCTATCTGACCTCCGTCCTTGCCTCCAGGCTTCTATCTGACCTCCGTCCTCCCCTTCAGTCTTGTACAGTTGTACCGCCTCCTCTCCTCTTCCTCTGATGTCACTGCACACTGAGAGCTTCTCACAATGTGCATTACAAGCTGCAGCAAGTCAGATAGAGCTCCGCCTCATTTCCTGGCTGGATGTCCAGCATCATCTAGTTCTTTCCGCCCCAACCTGACTGTCCCTGGCCCCTTTCATTTATTGGATGTCAGTTCTGTCAATCACAGAGGCTCAGGATCACATGTGGGCGTTACCTAGGGTGGTCTACATGCAAATGAATCCTGTACAGGAACGCCCACTCCTCCAGGACTGACACCCACCCATCAAGACTTTGATATTTGCATAGTTCCTCCAAAGTGCCCGCCCACTGCTTACATCAGGGCTCTTCAGAGGAGTAGTGTTGGTCGCTCCCACAAGTCACGATCGGCCTGCATTACATAGAGGAGCACAGAGTCCCGGTGATGACATCACCGAGTGTAAAATTATGTCATGAAAATGGAAACAATCTGATTTGGTGAATCTCCCCAGCGGGATGACAACACGCTGCCTCTGCTGCACTGAAATCCCAAGCAACGCTGTCAAAGCAGCCCACATAAAGCAAAGCGGGCAAGGGTTAGAACGGGGGTAGACAACGCTGGTGCTCCCGCTGGAGAGGAACTACAAGTCCCATGAGGAATGGCAATACCCTGACAGCCACAGGCATGACTCACAGAGGCAAAAAAATGATGGGATTTGTAGTTTCACCGCAGGTGGAGGCCGGAGTTTGCCTTCCCCTGCTCCATAAAACACAGCAAAGCGAGCAATCAGCTTTAGAGTACAGACGCGAGATATTCACCTCCTGATGGTGTCCTCCTGCTGAAGATACTTCTCCTGGACGCAGTGCTCCAGCACAGAAAGCGCCAGCCCGCCTTTCCGTAATCCGTTTTGCTGCTTGAGCGCCAGCTCTGTGGACCGGAGCTCAGAATCGATCTCGTCCAGGAGAGTCTCCTGAGACAATGGAAGGTGGATTTTAGAGAGGAGGTCTTTGGTGCTGATTGTACTAAAGGGGCTCTTAGTGTCCGGGATCTCCGTGCCATGGTCCTTCACACCTGGAAGGTCCCGGCTCTCTATGACATTGTCCTTCACACCTGGAAGGTCCGGGACCTCCATGACATTGCCCTTCACATCTGGAGTGTCCTGGCTCTCTATGACATTGTCCTTCACACCTGGAATCTCAGTGACATTGTCCTTCCCATCTGGAAGGTACGGGATCTCCGTGACATTGTCCCTCACATCTGGAAGGTCCGGGATCTCCATGACATTGCCCTTCACATCTGGAGTGTCCTGGCTCTCTATGACATTGTCCTTCACACCTGGAATCTCAGTGACATTGTCCTTCCCATCTGGAAGGTCCGGGATCTCCGTGACATTGTCCTTCCCATCTGGAGTGTCCTGGCTCTCTATGACATTGTCCTTCACACCTGGAATCTCAGTGACATTGTCCTTCCCATCTGGAAGGTCTGGGATCTCCGTGACATTGTCCTTCCCATCTGGAAGGTCCCGGCTCTCTATGACATGGTCCCTCACATGTGGAAGGTCCGGGATCTCCGTGACATTGTCCCTCACATCCGGAGTGTCCTTGTCCAGGGACGACTTGGGAACACCGTTTTCTCTCCCCTCGTCCGGCGAGGTTTCAGGCACAGCTACCACCTCTGGAGGTTTGGAGTCACAGGGCTCAGCCCTAGCCTCCGGCTCTTCCAATGAGGAGTGCCCGCAATCGCCGACCGGTTCCTCCCGAGGTTTGGCTTCTTCTGCTGCAACATTAGGTTCCTCCCGTGTTCCCGAATCTCCATCAAAGCCCAGGGCAGGGGACTGGTCATCCAGGGGCTTCGCGATGTCCTCGCCGAGAGCGCCAGGCTCCTCCATAGCTTCAGAAGACGTAGATCTGCAACAAGAAACCATCACAAGGTCAGCAGAGACCCCCCAAAAATTCACATAATAATAATAATAATAATAATAATAATAATTATTATTATTATTAAGGATTTATATAGCGCCAACAGTTTGCACAGCGCTTTACAATATCGGGCAGACATTTCAATCACAATACAAGACAAGATGTCCCTGAGGGCTTACAATCTAAAAGGGAGGGGGAAGTGATACATGAGGAGGGAGCTGTGTGGGGATGAATTGTTTGAGAACGTGATGGTCGAGCGGTTAGGTATCATCACATACATGCGTTCTCCCTGAACGACCAGAGACATTACAAGCAATCCCTTCGTGCTCTGCAAGCCGATTGGCCCTCGTACACAGAGAGCGTGCAATGATATTCAGGTCAGGTACCTGCTAAAAGGAAAATAACCCAAAAAACACGGACACAGCGGCTGGGTACTGCTCGCCCTCCATCGCCGTCCACATGGAAGAGTTTCCCAAAGCCGACCACAAATAAAGTGATCTCAGCTAAAGTCACAAAGACACGAAATCTGAATACAATGGACGTATTAAATAGCCGTGATCTCCAACAGTCTCGTGTAACGTGTCTGCGGTCTATGACGACCTCCTGCAGCGCGGCCCCCGGTCTCCATCGCCTGCTATTGTATGTCTGGTCTGGTCAGGCATCATCTCTGACCGTCTCCTGTCTCCGACAGCTTTCTATACTATAATATTCAATGAAAGTTATGTGTGGCTCTATGGTGATGTCCGGGGGCCACATTTCAGGTTCTCTATCACAAGCACACGGACTGTTCTAACCCTAAAGGAAGCAATCCGGGTATATCATGTGACTGCTGATGTCCTCCAGATGTACAGCACTGCGGTTTGGTGCAACATTAAAAGGAGAACTATGGGGCAACCTTTTTTTTGGCAAAAGTTCTCTTCAGGGTCACAGGACAAATACTGTGTGCTCCAGCGACCCAAAACTCAGCATCTAGTGGGCCAGTGCCCGCTACACGCCGAGAGCGCAGTGCCCGCTACACGCCGAGAGCGCAGGGCCAGTGCCAGCTACGCGCCGAGAGCGCAGGGCCAGTGCCAGCTACGCGCCGAGAGCGCAGGGCCAGTGCCAGCTACGCACCGAGAACGCAGGGCCAGTGCCCGCTACGCACCGAGAACGCAGGGCCAGTGCCCGCTACGCACCGAGAACGCAGGGCCAGTGCCCGCTAC